CAGGATGGTAAAATCGTGTTTTCTAAAAGCCCTTGACTTGTGATTTTTATTCAAGAAAAGATGGCTTTCTTTGTCATCCAGTGAGAGTAAAATTCCATAATGTAACATCATATTTGTATGGTTACATATTTCACTTTCTTTCTTCCCATTGTATACTTCCTTTACTAGTTTTATTTATCGAAAGTGCAGGGAGTTATAAATGTTTCATCCACTTATGATAGTAGAACTCAAGAGGTAGAAGGTTCTTTAGCTGCAAGGAGATCATGGAGAGTAGAGGCATCTCATGGCAGTTCTACATCAGGAAATGAAAATTCATCTCTTTTCCTTGTTCAACTTGGACCTCTTCTCCTTGTTCGTGATTCAACCCTCCTTTTGCCTGTCCACCTGTCCAAGCAACACTTGCTTTGGTATGGCTATGACAGAAAGGTAAAGATCAGCTACAGCTGGCTAAGTTGCAGTTTGTTATCAAATTGCTAATAACTTGTGTTTAAGTTTAGTTAAGAAAGTTCTATATAGCCTAATAAAATAAGTCTTGTATACTGCATAATAGGCATTTGACCTCTAGAAACAATTTTGCAATTATATATCTGTTCAATTAGTTTGATTTATTCCTAAATTATTGGTACAAAATTCTCTTTAACATAATTTTGGAATAATATTAGCTGTAACTTCTCCTGGCTTACACTGACCTAAGTAGCAAACCAACTAAACCTATGGTCCGCACTCCACGTACAGACATCTATCACTTATAGTCAAGTGACATAGCTCTTTCCTGTCTTTGAAAGTGTTTTTTGTGTAACAATGCATCTAGCCCTCTGTGTAGAGTGGGAGTGCTTTTCATTACGACCTTACATGCTTTGCCCTTTAATTGTCAGAATGGAATGCATTCTCTTTGCCCAGCAGTGTGGTCAAAACACAGAAGGTGGCTGTTGATGTCCATGCTATGCCTCAATCCCTTAGCTTGTGTAAGTTAATAGCTTATGATGCTTCTGAAAAGACCAGCTTTGAGTTTCGTTATTAACTGATGTTACATAATACATTTGTTGCATGTCAAAATTGTTATATGTAGAGCTTTATTATCTTTAATTTGGTCAGTGATATATATCATCCATTCTATATGAACTCTAAAAATGAAGTTAATCATCCTAGTTCAGTTATGCATTAAAGTCTTCTAATTTCGTTTTTGGGTGTAATCCATGAAGGAAGAAGTGGGTCGAAAGGAATTACACAGTCTTGCATTATCTATAAATTGTGTAGGGGTGAAGGGAAGGGGTGGCGTGCAAGGTGAAAATATGAAGCCTACTTGGGTTGTTGGGGAAGAGGAAGAGGTTAAAGAGGTTTATCACTAAAATGATGTGTACTGCTTTAGGAGACTAAGCTTGAGAGCTGTGATGGTATATTAATTAGGAGTTTGGGGAAATCTTGCATAGGGATTGGACTGTAAAGTGCACTGAATCCCTTTTCTGCAAAGTGCTAACAGAGCTGGTTGTTTGGAGAGACTTTTTGAGGAGGGAGATATTCACAGTGTGCTATTTGGGATATGTCCAAGAACAAAGTTCCCGATCCAAATGGTTGTGAGGAGGGCGAGTTTCAAAGTGCAATGTTTGCGATTTGAATTTGAACTTGTTATCTTGTATTTGAATATAACCTAGGGGCTCTATATAAAGCCGATACTAGCTGTGGTTAGTTCAGTTCAGCCATTGGTTATAAACATTCAGCTTTTTGCTCAATATTTCACGCCCTTCCTTCTTTCTTGCTTTGTTTCTCATCACTAGTATGTCAGCTGTTACAATGTCCCTATAGCTCTTAATATATCTGCTAGTTTCATCTTTGAGAAACGAATTCCCTGACATTGGCCTCTCCTTTTCTTTCTACTCTTTGTGCACAGTCATTTGTGGATCTTCAATTTCCTAATGGACAGTTGACCTATGTGTCTGGAGAGGGTCTAAATACTAGTGCTTTCCTTCCTTTTTGTGGGGGTCTTCTACAAGCTCATGGTCAATATCCAGGAGAAATGAGATTCAGCTTTTCATGCAAGGTGAGATCCAAATTATTGAATTCTTGAATGATATAATATATTCATAGACGGAATTTTCTGGAATTGAATCCCATTTTCTCATGTATGGGCACTAATATTTTTCCTGATTTGCTTTTGTTAGAACAAGTGGGGAACAAGAATCACACCAATGGTACAATGGCCTGACAAGTCATTTTCCTTTGCTGTTGCTCAGGCCTTGGCCTGGCAGAGATCTGGTCTCATGGTGAGACCAACTATTCAATTCAGGTAATTACTATTCTTCATTTTGCTATTTCCTGATGGTGAAGTCTAGGGTTGAGGTGCTTTCATGACATTCTGAAGCACACATCATGATGCATCTGCCGCTTATGTTGTTTGTATGTGATCAGTGGACTGCTGCCTGCCTGCCTGCCTGTGTTTATAAATGAACTTCCCATAGCAGGAAAATACATGCAATGCAAGAAAGAAAGCTTCGTTTTTCATTCAATAAATAGAAGAGAAGAATTTTTAAGAATAGAAGAGGACAAGGGATAACTTCTATCATAAATCTTTTGCTTGAGGATTTTTTGGTGTGACTATATAGTAGTTCTTCTATATATGTTGATGTCACTGATGACTCAGCAACTCATTATTCGGTGAATTCTCATCATAGATTAAGCAAGTGTTGCCATCACTTGTAATGATTTGTCAGTCAATGAATAATGAGTGTTAATTAGTCAAGAAGTTTGTTTTCGATTTCCCATTTTCTAATGTGAGAGCCTAACGTCCAATACATATCACGCATCTTTAATCTTTCCTGTCAATTTGTGTTCTGCATTTTGTTGATGTTCTTTTTATTGTCAGTGTCTGTCCCACCTTTGGTGGAAGCAATCCTGGGCTGCGGGCTGAACTCATTCATTCAATCAAGGAGAAACTGAATTTAATCTTTGGATGTGCCTTCATGACATATCCTTCTGCCTTTGCGTCAATATCCGTAAGTTGTTTTTAAAGCTGTCATGTTTTGTTTTTCAGCTTTAGCTAGGCTCCTTTGAGTTGTTTGGCAATGTGATAATTTTGTTTCTGACAAAACAACTATCTTGTGCTCTTATATTCTGTATTATTGTCCATGAGTAATGCTAGCTGCGATCAACCTGATTCAGGCGTCAAACCAGTTTTAGCTTTCACCTAAGTTACTAAAAAGATAAAAATGATTTAAAAAATATGTATTCATTTATTTAGCAAGTAGGGCAGCATATCACGTGGTTAATTGCTGTTTTTAAAACATGCTTTCCTGGTGCTCTGTTCTTTTACCTTGATTGTATTCTGACATGCATCTGCCAAACTATGATTGGGTTCTTGGCTCAGTTATGTCTCTGTGTTTGTGTGTTCAGATTGGAAGATCGAAGTGGAATGGAAATGTAGGAAGCTCGGGTCTGGTTCTGAGAGTCGATGCTCCTCTCTCCAATGTCGGGCGACCTTCTTTCTCTGTTCAGATAAATAGTGGCATTGAATTTTAAAGGCCTCCATATTTTCTTAGATAAGTGTATATAGGTTTAGTCAACAGCTACTTGCAAGGTCTTTTTTGTTGGGAGCTGCCAATAGCAAGTATACCGTGTTCATGTGAATAGAAAAATCTTGACCCGAAAATCGAGACCTTAAATTGATATCACTATGAAAATCGTGTCTTGGGTGCGTGGTGTACTTACTAATAAAGTTCCCTCTTGTCAAGCAGCAACTTGAGTTTCATACATTGTTGTTAATTGTTTCTTACTCCTCCTTAGCCTTGTAATCGAAGGTTTGCGAATAGAAAGATCTATTGGTCGCATTTTAGGTCAGCAACATCCATCGCCAGATTTGTTATAAAAAAGTTCTTGAAACGATTGACCTGGTCGAAACATTGAAGTACACTGCAACGGATGATAGCAAAATAGGTTTTACTACCTTTAAGTAACAATTAAGCCCAAAACTCTTCGACATGATGTTTGCTTTTAGTACTGAGCAATCGGTTCTTCAGTTCAGTTAGTAAAACTAACTGAAATAATTGAATAACCAAAATAGGCATATTTAAGACACCGAATCAAAATGGAATATTAGTTGATAACTGAACTGATTAACTGAAATAATCCAGTTTGGTTATTCGGTCTACTTGATTTTTGGATCTGTTTTGTTGCAATAATTTTTTTCACTCATTCTTATTCCAAGAGCTTAAATTATAAATGTTACTGGAATAGAGTTGGATTAAAGATACCAGAGCAGCTCAACTAATATTGGTTTCTTTATTACTCAAGAAATGGAGAACACAAGCTTTAAATATTCTCAGATCCAAAAGTCCAAGGCCACATGTGCGGCTTCAATATTTAAATCCCAGAAAACAAAATCAAATATATTAACGAAGTGAAATGTCTAGCTGAATTTAAGGAGAAACCAATCTTAAGACCTGCGATGCGAGGATTTAAATGGAATGCGAGAGAAGAGTTTGCAGCGGGGTGAAGACCTTTATTCAGATGGGGCGGAGACTGAAGAAGACTGTGATGGGAGCAATGGAAATGCGTTGCAAGCAACTGAGGCGACGGCGATTGAAAGAGGAGACTGAATTGAAGGTGTAAATGGTGAAGTTGGAGACTGATGCCTGACGCGATGTGTGGAGCAGAAGAGGGCGAGGCCGTGGGCAGAAGAGTGAAGCACTAAAATGACTCAAGTAAAATATAAAATCGAAAAGACTTGCAGTCTCCCTCCACTCTCTTGATATGACATCATTTAAGATATAATTCGGTTATTATAACTAAATTTTTTTTGAAGACACCCATCCTAACACCGAAAAGAAGAGAAAAAAATCAAAATCAAAATGAAAACTGAAGACCAAATTAACCGAACTGAAAAAACTAAAATGGGTTCAGTTCGGTTCAATATTTCATTTTGGTTCCATTTTGCTTATCCCTATTTGCCTTTGATAATAGCAATTTAAGTAGATGCCAACTTAATCAGCCATTTGAAGCACTAGAACCACAATTAACCGCCATTTTGATAAGATGAACACATGAAATGTCATTATCATTACACTACAGCGAATAAAATATGCAAACAACATTTCTAGCTTTATCTCTTTGACAATGTGTGCACATTTTTATAAGTACATTTATCACCCTACTATTCAAGGTGACTCCTTCACAAAAGAACTTGAAAATACTTGCAAGTTTTCTTCCTCATAGAGCTAGTCATATTCGTGATGTTAATTTCAAAGAAGCTTGCTAGATGAAGAGTAATCATCTGTACTCGGAAGAGATATTGAAGAATCAATCCATGGCCCATCCATTGACTTGCCTCTTTGCTCCCTGCTTGTTTGAGAAGCTATAGAGGTCTGGCTGTCGTGTGATAGCATCTCAAAGGCTTTGAATCTTGCATCCTGATGATCCTGGCTTGAATCCTTGAGCTTGATTATTGGAGCTTGAACTGGAATATTTCCTTCAAGCATACTCACTACGGATGACATGGCTGGCCTGAGGGTGGGAGATGGGTTGGTGCACAAAAGAGCCAAGTTGAGCATTCTCATGGCCTCATCTTGGGAGTAGCTTGAACCAAGACGCGGATCCACTAGTTCCAGAAGGTTTCCTTGCTCTTGGAGAACATAGGCCTTTAATGGCATACAAAGAAGTAAGTGCAAAGATTTAACTGAATGCATAAAAGAAGAAAAGAACTTAGTCCCATCAACTTGATTCGGCGATTTGGTTCTTGAAGCTTAATTATTACTATCAATTGAATCCCTAAAGTTTCGTGCAAAATTTTATATTCTTAGCTAATTTTATTGGATCAACAATTTTTTTTGCAATTTATGAAAAGATTGTTATCCTTGAATCAATTGGTTAGACCACGTTTGTGTGTAAAATTGCATGGGTTCAGGAACCAAAAGTTTCTTTATCCCTTTGTGGCAAATTATTTGAATATGGAAACGCTTTTGGTAATCTCAAATTTTTAAGATGACTAAGGGAAGAAATGAAATATGCACGCCTAAAGAGCCATGAAAAAAAATTTATTTACCCAATCAAGAAGATGAACAAACTCATCCTTTGGCCGGTAATTCATGTTGTTCTTTCCACTAACAATTTCCAAAGCAACAACTCCAAAGCTATATACATCTGCTTTGTCCGTCAAATAACCTCTCATTGCATATTCAGGAGCCATGTAACCACTGTGAAAAGAGCATATAATATCTCTCAGTTAGTGATTTTACTATGAAAATATTAATGTAAATGAGCATGGTTTTATGCAATAAATAGGAGCCAGCCAATAGTGCATGATGAATAGAATCTAGAATGACATAATACGGACATTGTTCCAGCTATTCGGGTGCTGATATGCGTATTCTCCTCTTCATCGAGCTTCGCTAGGCCAAAATCAGAAATTTTGGCATTTAAGTCCTTATCGAGTAAGATGTTTGTTGCCTTAATGTCCCTATGCACTATTTTTAATCTAGACTCCTCATGAAGATAAGCCAATCCCCTTGCTATCCCCAAACAAATCTTCAATCTTGTGGACCAACCCAAGTATATTCTCTGTTCTTCGCGGCCTAACAATAAGAAGAAACAAAGATAAGAGAAAATGTCATTGAAGATATGCTGTTATTAGAAGTAGGTACCAACATTGTACAAAGGGTCAATGAAGCATTTACCAAAAAGTGCTCGAGCAAGACAATTATTCTCCATGTATTCGTATAAAAGCATTAGTTGATTTCCATCTATGCAACAACCATAAAGCTTCACAAGATTCGGGTGCTGCAATGCAGAGATCATTCCTATCTCATTAACAAATTCACGATTCCCTTGCTTTGACTTGGAAGAGAGCTGCTTTACAGCAATGACTACACCATCTGACAGCACACCCTGTTATAAAGCTATCTCAATCAATGTCATAAGCATAACACCCTGTTTGGTTTGCTCTGATATTTCAGATTCTGATGTTACCTTATACACTGGCCCAAATCCTCCTTCTCCTATCTTATTTGCTGGGTCAAAGTTATTGGTGGCTGTTTTAATTTGTCTAAGAGAAAAATAGCCTGTCTTAAGATCTAAAAGTTCTGCAAGACACAAAGGGGATAAGTACAAGCAAATGAAAAACAAAAAAGAAAAATGCTAACAGAGCACAAGAAATAGAAATAAATAGTCTTTTAGATAGGATGAAGCAACCAAAACTTCATTTTTTTAACAAATTATCACCACCTCACATCTTGGAAGATTTGTAATTCATTAATGTGTATTCATCGGATGCTTGACCATAAGCAAATTTGACTCTTTGATTAGCAAGACCTAAAGTACAAGAGTTGCAATCTATTTTGGGTTTCAATATTACCTTTATCTTTTGGATCTTTCCCACCAAGGAAACCTTTCTTTTGGAGGACAAAGAGTACCAATACGAGGAAAACACATGATCCAACTACAATTCCAACAATAGCTCCAGTGGACAACCCTTTTGAAGGAACTTTGAAGTCTACAACAAAGAATAAATGCTCATATTACATGACATCAAGAAAATTTATAAGAAAATAGCAAGTCAATGATGTGAGAAATATTTACTTGGCGTCACAGTAATGGCAGATATTAGGGGTCCATATACACCTCTATCGGGAATAGCAGTAGTTCCTTTCCCTGCCCAGTATAAATGGATCTCCAAGGTGCTATCATTCACATAAACATCAAATTCCCTTGTGATGCCCTTACCAACTCCACCTGCTGCCTTCGCAATGTTAAAATCTTTCAAGTATTTAACGCCCTATGAGAATGCAAGAAAGAATCTAGCTTCAAAACTTCAGTTTTGTAGCAAAACGAAATCCAACATATTATAAAAATGTAAGAAGCAGTAGAAACAATCTAACAAAGTATATCCCTTCATCACTCACCTGAATTGAAACATCAAATATGCGCACACCAAGGCTGCTATATGTTTGGTCATCAGAAAACATTATCTCAGCAAAATGGAGCTTTACTTTATACTTGCCCTTCATCATACATAAGCCATAGTACTTAAGGGATAGAGGGCTAAGACGGGCTGTTTGGTAGTATTCTGGGCTACTCCCATTCAAGGAAGATGAATTTGTTGCTACAAAAGCAGCACTATCATTATTCATGAAGACTCCTGTACTGCTATAAGCCCAGTTGTTTTGAAAATTAAAGAATGAAATGCCATCTGGATTTAAATCGTCTTCGTATTCGTGACCATTGAACTTCATCTTGGGTCCTCCACAGTTTATGAATAACGAATGATCTAAATTAAAAGAAAAAAAAACACACACACACACGCACGCACGTTAAGTAGGAGAAATTATCATAGATTCACTTAACAAAGTCTTTTGTGTTGCACAAAAACATGATTGATGTACTATGTCTCAACTCACAATCTGACTTCCCCTCACAAGGTAGGCCCTTCTTCAAACACAAGAGTCTACAAAACGAATATTTTGTTTCAACAGATTATTTAAAGAGATAGATAATTGAAACAAAAAATCTGAAACAGGTACACCATAAGCAAGAACTCACGGATTGCTTACTGAAGATGAGAGACTAGAAGCCAAATTCCTGCCCATCAATAATAATTAGTAGTCAATATTAAGCATTAAGGATATAGACACAAAAGTCTCTATGTGATTGATTAAACAAAAAGAAGCTTACACATCCAAAAGCTGGCAACGAGATGCAGAAGCCTCAGTAAAATTGTTGTAAGATAAATCACTGAAAAACACCATGAGACTCCAATGTGGTATGTTGTAGTTTTGTAAGAGGTAAATCTAGAATAGAGAAATGGGAAGGATATAAAACTAACGTATTATGTGTGTTCTTAAGCATCCACCCAGGAATTGCTCCACTCAAAAAATTGTTCATCAGAAGCCTGTATCCATAGTTAATATCGATCCGATTAATGATTTTAAAATGTTAAAACCAATGACGACAAAGCAATCAACTTGCGTGAAATTTTTTTGACATGATGTCCGCATTCTTTTTTGTTACACTTCGTGCCAATAAATGGAAATGTTTGCTTACATGTGATTAAATTCCAAGTCCTGAAATGAAGCAGGGATTGGACCAGTCAACCTGTTAAAGCTCAGGTCTCTGCATGAAAATAAAATAGTTAACCAACAATCAATTAGCCACATCAGCAAATAACTAGAGAAATAAAACTTCAAAAACCTTTAACTAATTATTAAGTACTCATATGATGCACACTTACAGAGTCTTTAATTTTGTCATCTCGCTGAAGTCGTTTGGAATGGGACCAACAATTAGGCAATTTCTCAATATTCTAAAATCATAGGATAGGAAGATGTGAAGCACTTAATACAAAATCCAAATAAATGCATGGCACTTGGCATAATGGTAGGAAATTTTTCAACTCACAGTCGTTCCAAAATCTTCAAATCCCTTAGATTAGGAAATCTCATAGTTGTTCCATTCAAGTCCGATATTCTCCTGAAATCAAAATGTCTCCTCAATGATAAAAAATCGTTTATTGAAGATTAAATTCGAAAACCACATGTATGTGTAAAAGGAAAAATAAGCACTCACAATTCTCTCAAGTTAGTCAGCAAGGATATGGTGGAAGGAATTGGACCTTCCATGCCTGTGCCCTGCATATTCCTAACAAAAACGTAAAATTCCCTTAAAAGATGAAAAGAAATTGAACATACCCCAAATTTAGTTTCATCATAAATATGAACAAATGTTTAAACGAAAGTATACTTACAGAATAGTAACTTTGGTCCAGTTACCAATAAAACTAGGTATCTTCCCTGATAAACTGCTCCCATCTATCCTACTGCAGAAAAGTTAGCAGTGATTTCAGTATTTAACAAAGGCCTAACAACAACAATAAACTAAGCAACACAGTCACATGATATCACTCACAATTCAGTAAGGTTCTTCAGATTTCCAAACGTTTCTGGTATTATCCCAGTAAAATAATTTGCAGAAAGAAGTCTGCAGATTCACGCAAAACAAAGTTAAGCATCATGAAATGGCATATCTATTACGCAGATTCACACAAAACAAAGTTAAGCATCATGAAATGGCATATCTATTGCGCAGATTCACACAAAACAAAGTTAAGCATCATGAAATGGCATATCTATTGCGCAGATTCACACAAAACAAAGTTAAGCATCATGAAATGGCATATCTATTACGCAGCACCAAAAGGAAATGAAGGAAATAGTTAACGGAAAAGCTACAAATTGAAATTTTTAACAGGTTGCTTTATTCGGTAAGAAAAGCCACAAATGAAAACTGCTAAAAGAATAGAGAACGAATTACAATCTCCGTAGGTTGCGCAAATTTCCAAGACTCTGAGGAAGAGGTCCTCCAAGCTGATTATCTTCCAAGACCCTATAAACATGAATACAAAACTTATTTAGCCCCAGTATCAACTTCCTTCTCCCCCCCCCCCCCCCAATTTCAAAATGAGATTGGCTTTGACTCCAAAACTTACAGCTCCTGCAGAGTAGCAATTTTACCCAATTCTGCGGGAATCAAACCACTAATGCGATTCCCCAAAAGGGACCTGAGGCAAATGTGGATGTGAATGATTTCAATTTTCAAATACACATACATGGCATGTAATATATTTCATTATATTATTATTTCCATGCCTAGTTCGTGCAGAGTCTGAAAATACCACAGTGTATGATAACTTACAGATTGACAAGAGGGATGCGCGTAAAAACTGTTGGGATTGTGCCATTGAGATAGTTGCGAGTGAGATCACTGCTCAATACAATAAACCTCTCTCAGTGCTTGCCGATTCTGATTCATTCTCACAGTGATTATATGAAAGCAAATGAACAAAGGAAAAAGAGGTATAATCACTTACAGTTCAATCAGTTGTGTAAGATTTCCAAATTCACTGGGTATTTCTCCTGCTATATTCAGTCTTTTCAACAGGCTGCCAATGGCAAATTTTCGCATCACTGAACACTCATCACTCCAAAGTCCAAAAACAAAAAGGTATAGAATTTACAGAAGTTAGTTTATTTCACCGGGATATGATTATGAAAAAGAAAAGGCATACATATGGGTGACATGGCAAACGCTGCCGTTTTGGAATCTGCAATCGCAAGTGACATTCCTGGTTGGTCCAGAGGATGAAGAAACGAGTTTATTAAATCCCGAGTCTCCATTGTTGCAAGATGTCTCTTTAACCTTCCAATTCACATTTGTGAGTTTATCAGATATTGCCTGTAGAGCCTTCACTGTATCACAAACATGCGCGCGCGCGCGAATTAGCTCTCTGATATTGTCTTCATTTCATCTTAATTTGTTTTTTTTTTTCCCTTTCCCCACAGAAAATGGAAGCAATTATCAGAAACACACATTAATCATCTCAGTTTCTTTGGATCCCGCAAAACAGGAAACAAATTATACGCAAAAATGGAGGCTTTAAGAGATTTGGGTTGCTATCACAAGTCAATACGAGCTTACCCATGCCTTTGTTTCTATCCTTTTTTTCCCCCTCCTTTTCAATATAATCTGACCAAGTCAAACATTGCTGGCGATATTACACCGTGGCACTATTAAAAAAGCCGAACTTTTTATTATTTAATTAGTTGTGTATATAAATAAATCCTATATAATCAAAAGCATTAAATATTATTATTTAATTATTGTATATTTTCGTATATCTCCTATTTTCTTGCAAAAGATAAAGATGGAAAAAAAAAATTAAAAATCAAATCATTCAAACTAGTTTGCATATTCAAATTGATTGCCCCCGACAACAAAGAACTGAAGGAGACAGAAACAATCAAATCGCTTTCGTTCTCGTGTCAAGGCTTATCTTATAAAACATGCGTCACGTCATATGTATACACTCATATATAATACGAATATACTCGTCCGGTCATAAATATAATATCTTTTTATAGTGTAATATTTACACTATAAAAATAGTCTTATATTTAAAATTAGAAGGAGTATACACTTATTACATTGTTATAAAATTCTAATAATAAAAATATAAAGATTATACTCACATTTTTTTCATCTAAAATATTATAGTAAAAAATGGCCATCAGATGCATTTGGGAAAAAAAAAAAAAAAACAGGAACATCTTTGCTGTCAACTAATGGATTGACCAAATCGCAGCTCATTTAAACACATTTGATGTGATAAATGAAGTTCACATCTAGTGGTAGCAATACGCGGAGTTTAGATTCTATTTATATACTTGGATAGGCCAGCTATGAATAAGAAATTTATAGGGTTAAATTATATTGTTGTGTTCCTAATAGTAATTTCATTCCATTTTTATTTTAAATATCATGAATGACACTCTTAATTTTAAAAAATAATAATTTAATAGTGAGAATTACATTTCTCAGATATATATACTGAACCACAAAACATGTAATGCAAATTAAGGTTCAGATAATTTGATAGGATTTTTTTTCCTCCTTATTGCAAACAAAAAACATTGAATAGGGTTATGGTAGTGGCAGAAGGTAGCTGGTGGCAGGGTCATTTTCAGCATGTTGAATTTGTCTGTTTACCCATCCTACAGGCTCTTTTTTTTTTTTCACCAGGACCTATCCTACAGGCTACCATCCACAGATTCAACTTGAAATGAATCATTTATGTATCTGACAAAATTCACACTCATAACCTATAAAAAATATGGTTTGTGAACAATATTCAGTCTAATTAGTAAAGAATAAGTTTATAAATCATAAAATTATAAGTTTAAATTTCACTACTGATATGAAAATTTTGTTGATAAGTAACACCCCTAACTTTAATGAGTTTCAGTAACTCAGCTCATCTAAAAAATATGCTGGTTTCTCACACTTGGTATAATCAGACGCACGCTAGTTTCAAAGGGAAACAAAAGTCTTTCATGTAAAACCCAAAACAAAAACAAAAGAAATCCAGCGTTGTAAATCCTTAAAAGGACAAGTGGTCTTCAAAGATAAATAATTGTCATAGTTTCAGAGCTGATAATACATGTTTGGGCATTGGGGTCCACACGTATTTGTGAAATATTTCACTTTCAATCACTATAAATAGCATACTTTATCTGTTAGGTTTTCAGAATATCATCAGTTTGATGCTTTCTCAATTATTTGAATTAGACCAATTATATATATAAATATATTATCAATTAATGCATTAAATTTTGATTGCTGGAGATGCAGATGATGTTTTTGGAAAAAACCAAAAACGACAGTGACGCCTATAGTACTGTGATCCCCAGTTGGGCAAAGAGGGTAGCGGTTTCACATTGCATTGCCAATTCACCATGCCTCCATTAAAGTACGTCAATTATGACCCCAGAAAAAAAAAAAGAGTAATGAACCTCGCAAATAAAATACTCCTCCGGTTTTAAATAAATATAAGACTCATTTTTTAATATAAATTACAATAAAAAGTGGGTATATATTTAGGACTGAAACTTAAAACAAAGACGAGTCAGACTCATATAATTATTAAGAATTCGCCATTAGAAGCAGAAGAATGAAGAAACAACATGAAAATATACCACAAGTTACAATCTGAACGTTAAACTGTGATGAAACTAAGTGTTAACGGCTTGAGTAAACGACTGGAAAATAAGATGATTCCGGTAAGATTTATGAACCTGTGAATCCTCGTGCATCAAGAAACACCCATCAGGATCCCAGACACAGAACAAGTGATGAAAGTTTAAAAACAGAGGAATCTGATGCAAAAGTTCTAATCTTTTTCAAACCCACTTGCACTATTAAACAATTGCTAGTAAATCGTTACAAATATTCGCCGTTTTTTATGCCTTCTATGTCAATCTTTAAAGTGATGAAGAACACAAGAGTTTATCAGTTTAAAAGTAGTTTCTTTCCGCAGGGCTTTGAATAAGAAGACAAGAACAAGATTGCAGAGTTTCTGCGGTTCCGAATGATTGAAAACGTTTGAGAAACGAGAAAGAAACATTTTCAAGCAGAAGACTAAAGGAAAAAAAGATGAAGACAATAGTCGAATGAAAAGCAGAGAGCAGCAATGGAGAAAGTACCTTCATCTTGGGGTATAAGTTGAGCGTTGGCAGGAGAGTCTGTGAAGAAACAGAGAAGCAAAAATCCGAAGAAGAAAACAGAGACAACTTTGGAGCTTGACATCGCAAAGTTGGTTCTGAAGGAGAGGTCTCGAGAATGAAGAACGAAATATACACAGAGACAAAGGGCAGAGGCAAATTTAGAATTCGGAAGATTTGTATTGGAGGGTCCGAGGGCGACAAAGCTTTAACTTTTAAGAATTGATTTTTCAATGCGAAATTTGGGATGCGCAGCCACACCAAGCGAACAGAGTAAAAAGTGCATGAATGCTTATTTAATTCTTTAACATAAGACTTAGTTTGTAATTTATTTTAAATTATAAATTAGATTTTATATTAAAAATCGAAGTTATTAGTTAATAAAAATTAGTATTAATGATGAAACATATTTATATATAAAGGAACAATTTTTATAGAATTATTTATATCAAGAATCTTAAAATTCTATGAAAATTGTTAGCTTTTGCAAGTTTTCTCACTAATTTTCCAACTTTTCTTTTTTCTCAGTCTTACAACTTACACTCACAGAATAATTGGAAGAGGTGATGTTCTTATTTCACTAATTTTGCAGCTTTTCTAACTCAATCTTCAAAAATCTTATATTTGCTCTGCTATAAATATTCGTTCTAAGAGAAATTTTCCCATATATATGTGTGTATGAATGTAGGGAATACATATATATAATTTAAAAGATAAATAATTGGATGTAATGTCATATAAAATAATATAATCGTTAAAATAATGTCTTTATATGTATTAACGAGTAAAAGCTTTTTTTCACATTATTTATTATGCATGCGACTTACTTTTGTTAACTCGTAGTTTTATGCGGAATCCGCCAATAATCATCACATGATTCATAATTTAAATGATCACAGTATATTCAAAATAATATTTCTCTATTTTTAAATATAAAACCTATTTTATAATATAAATTATATTACAAAATAAATCTTATATTTAAAAACGAGGAGTATTAATTTTTGTCTCCTTTAACTTTTAATAATGCACATGCATGGTTTCACGCTAGAGAGTTGTTTGTTTTTGACTTTGTGGTCTTCACGGATATAATGAAAGAGTCAGCTCAGAATGTTACTTACGTAATTGTCCAAACATTATTAATAAAAATCTGTACTGCTGTCAATAGGTTAAATCAACCGGAAAGAAATAGTTTCTCATAACATAATAAATTAAGATTTGAATCTATACTAGATAGGTGCTTATTTTTTATATTCAATATCCGATAATATTTTGATTATGATTGCGTCCAAAACCATTTTTCTCATTTGAAATTTATAAATCACTTTTCCCTAGGCTTTAATTAATTGTAAATCGCTTGGTTAATGATTTTATTTTGTGATAGGTTATATTATAATGAGAAATATTTTCATGTGAATGTATTTTTTCACGGATAAAGAATATAGTTTTCTTTCTTATTGTTTTCCCATCAAGACAATTATTTAGTTGAGATCATAACATGACATGTGCTCTTCGTAATCATATGTTACTATGTAATGTTTGGGCTTTATTTTTTCCATTAGAAATATTTGTTCAGAGTTGTCGTAAAATTGATTTTTTTTATATCAAAAATTCGCCACAAATTTTTTTATGGAAAACTCAAAAGATAACCAACTCATTCACCGAACGAGTCTGAGCTTTACATGAAAACCTTGATTTTTTTTTCCTATCATCATCATTAATTATAGTTGTAATTTCTTTCTTAAGATGGATTTCTAATTCTAGTTCTAATCAAAGAAAAAGTTGACAGAAAATCACGAATGCCATAAATTATTCATCACAGAATAAAGATCCAAACTAAAATATTCCCCGGGAAAAACAGTACATATTCACGAAATATTAACTAATGAGTTGTGTCAACAGGGGCTCCGTGGAGAATCATATAATTAAATTTAAGAAAAATGAATAATTGAGAAGGAGACAAGTAGCTACTCTTTTGGTCCTAAATATAAGATCTATTTTGTAACATATTTTTTTTGTTCTACTTATAAGATACTTCTAACATATTTCACACAGACCAAAAAAAATTTAAATTTTATTAACTCTCCACTAATTAAAATATAATAACTTTTCAATCCTACCCTTATGCAATAAATGCACTTTTCAAAAAAATAATTATCTAGACTCTAATAAATAAAAGACTAAATAGTACATAAATACTAAAAAGTTAATAAAATGATTTATATAAAAAAATTATTTTCTCTTTATCATATAAATAAGATTAAAAAAATAATTTATATTATAAAATAAGTTTTATATTTAAAATATAAGCAGAGTTAATTAATAGAGAAGAAATCAAGAGGGACGGCCAAGGTCGGAAAGCGGAAAAAGGCACATTCGCAGAAGCCATCGCATGCATGCATGGGCCCAGCAAAAAATCACGTCACATCGATCGTTTAATTTTAACTGTAAGTTTTAGTCCATTATTGCGCACTAATTAATTGCAGTCTAATTCTTGATATGATCTCTCTTGGTACGTGTGAAAATATGCTGGGACTTGAGGTGTTCTGAAATGGTGTCATAATTTGAGGATTTTCATTGTGTTCGCTTGTCAAGTCGGTTATTAAATTTTAAATCAGTTTTAATTATTTTGTAAAGAGGAAATTTAATATCACCAATAACATATTAACACAACATCACAGGTCACACATACTCTTTAATGGTAGGTGGTAGTTGGAACCACTTGACACGTTAAAGATGGGCTGGCCGGGCAACCTCTGCCTTTGTCATTGTGCACATACGTACTGGGAGAATCTTTTCACTGTAGGCAAATTGATAACGAGCACCTTAATGACGTTTTTTTGTTTTTGTGTCGGCAACTTAATCATGTAGTACTACAAATAACTCATGATGGTGAAAATGGAGTTTAGTTTGGCGCTAGATACGCTTGTGTATATATTACCTTCAATCATTAATATAAGACTTTATTTAATTTTTATTTTGATTCTAAATATAAGACTCCAATCTACTTTGTCTTTTATATTTATTGATTTTTTTTAAAGATAGTTCTCCTAATATTGTTAGTTCTAACGAACAAATTTAATGAGCAACGATATTTTAGATAAGACAATACTTATTTATTATAAATTATTAATTTATTTTTTAAATCTACTCAAATAACTAGGTTTTTATATTTAGACGGGAGGTAGTATACACCGGAGTAAATAACGTAAACGAGAATATTCAGATGAATTGTCCGAGGCACTGAAACCTCAACTATCACGTAGGGAAATTATACTCCTCAGGAGCTGACTTGGTCGTACGTATTCACTCCGGGTATGTTTGGATTGGCGTTGGGCAAAACTGACTTCTAGCTCAACTGACTTTTGTAATTGAAGTTAGAGTAAAAGTCAGTTAGAGTATGTTTGGATAGGTGCTTTTGAAAAGTCAGTTGAAAAAGCTGAAAGTTGTTTGGATGATGAATGAAAAAGTTAGTTTAGTTGTAAAATGACTAAAAAGGGCATGAACTTTATTAAATAGTAGTTTTTAATTTTTTATGTTTTAATGTGATAATAGGTTAAAAAAACATATAAAATTATTATGATAAAATATAAATAGTTTAATTGTGAAATTATGAAATAAAAATATTTGTTATGAAGAAAAAGTTGAAAACACATTGTAGATAATTAATTAAATATACATAATAGACAAACATGAATATAAATTAAAATTTTATTTGGTCTAAATAAAAACTTATTATGCTAACGAAGGAGATGAGGCAGAGAGAAAAATGTGAGGGTAAATCTGGGATGCTCATTTTTAGTAATCACCATTTGAAACTACAGTTTGAAAAGTTAGATTTTTCTCCGTTGAGTCTAACTGAGGTTGAAAGCCAGAAGTTGATTGGAAAAGTTAGCCCAGCCAAACAACAGTTTTGGTCCAACTCAGTTTGCAACCTCAGTTTTACAGATTCCAAGACACAACTACAGTTTGGAACTGCAATCCAAACATACCCTCCATATCTGCATAGGTAAATTCAAGTCAACCTCATCCTCCATCAGGTCGACACGCGATCCCAGCCGTTTGTTTCTATCAAATCCAGCCGTCTATCACCGGGAAAAGGTCTTCTCTCTCACTCTCACACACACACAAAGCAATTAGATTTATAAGCAGAGCTTTTGAGGTTGCCTTGTTTTTAAAATAATACTCCGTCCGGTTTAAAATATAAAATAAATTTTATCTAGTTACATTTACCAAAAAATTAGTTAAAATCAATTTTAAATAATAAATATGTAAAGCATGTTTTTTGTCAAATATATCTTTATTAACGAAGAAAATTAGTTAAAAAAAAGCAACAAATAAATTAAAAAGGAAAGAAAATATATAAAGGTAAAATTTTAAAAAAATCATTAAAATATTAGATAAAAATAAATATTATCTTATAAAAATATTAAATTTTTATAACAAAGTTTAGTTTATATGTTGAATTGGAGGGAATAATAAGTCTCAAGGTTTTTACCGGTAAATCCAAGAGGAAGCAGCATGAAGTCCCACACGAGTTGTTCTCACTATTGCCTTATTGTGCTCCTTCTCCCCTTTTGCCTTCGGCGTCCCTCCACTAGATGAAGGTGCGCACACACACGCACGCATATGCATAACTGGATCCTCTGCGCATATATATATAAAAACTATGAATCCCATTATGTCTATCTCTATGTTTATTGGAAGCTTTGAGAAAGATAGCTGGGAAACTAGGAAAGAAGGACTGGGACTTCAACGTAGATCCATGTACTGCTACTGGAACTCGTAACTGGACTAAAAACGACGAAGATAATGCTGTCGTCTGCATGCTTGTCCTCGTGCTGATGGTCTTTGTCATGTTATCAGCACATGTACGTTTCTCTCACTGACATCTTTGAATGGGGCACCTTTTCTCAATTTCTTTTTTTTTTTGAATAAAAATCTGAAATTCATTACTCACTAAAAGAAGCAAAATACAAGCACCAATCCAAAGCTCCTATTCTCTCTCATCACTATCTTCCGTTCTTGGTTAAGAGGTGGAGAATAATGAAAAATACAAAAATAAATACCCTCAATAATGTTAAGGGAAAGTTATCTCCTCGCCGTAAATATGATGTATTGTTG